GTCAGCTGCTTTGCAATTCTAATCTGTGTATAATCTTGTTGGTCGGATCCCCACATAATGTCCCTCTAGTAGGTGTTCAGACGACCACCCCGTCTTGATCTCTTTGAAAGTTCCTTGTTGGACAGGCTAGCGTCCTGTCAGCCACGTATTTCTCCTCTTTATTTTTTCAAAGCTCCTTGCGAATTTTGATTACACACGGTCCTCAAAGCCGCTTTAATTGTTTGTCCGACGTTCTCTTCTAGCTGTTGATTATATAACCTGATTTCTTCGTTGTCATAGCGGCACGCCAGATTTAGTGGTGATTTTCTAGCACGCCCAGTTCGGATCTATCGACCTGCCGATAACTAATCATTGTGTTCCACTACATGCTGAGTGATCCAACGTCTGAAGTTACACTACTATGATTGTGATCATATGTGTTTAACACAACTAAATTATACGGACAACACTTTGTTTCCTTCACTGAGCTAACCCATCTTAGTGCCATTCAGGCAACTCTGTATGCTTTTGTAATATTTTCGGCGATAGCTTGTACTGTGGCTGTGGGTGTTGTGGCGGTCTGATTACACTCCCTGTTTGGAGGCAATAACGTTCAGTTTCCTTAATTTTCTGTTGAACATAAACTTGGAGTAACGCGTTGCGTCTTTGTTTTCAAGCATTCGGGTGCAGGCAGATCATATGGTCGGCACAGACAAGCTAGACTGGAATGGCCATTTCGGGCTTATTAGCCGTCGTCAGCCAGTCTCATACCCAGACCCAAATGGTGCTCCACCGGAGCCTAAAAATCACGGCTTTTTGATCAGAGTTTAATTCCCTAACCACTGAGCCAGGAACTCGTTGTCTTACCGCTTTAGATCGGGAGATATCGAGGTTTGTTAGGAATGAAGGAGAACGTTCGCGTTCCAGGTATTTGCATGCGTAAGGAAGAAGGATGTTCGAGCACCGGATCACTTTGTTTATCCTGAGCTTTCGAACTCTTATAGGAGTCCATCGTCAGAGATGAGAAACAGCAACAAACAGGCATATAGTAGTGATTGAAGTATATTTATTTGCGTGGGTAAGGAAGAAGGCTGAGCTTTCGAACTCTTATTGGAGTCCATCGTCAGAGATAAGAAACAGCAACAAAGAGGGGCTAGTTATTGTGTGTGTACACCAATCAACTGTCAAAGCTCATCAGGTCGTGAGGGGAAGAAACCGCGATGACCGTTAAAATCACTGATGGTTAATCAACGTATACCTCTATAATCGCCCCACCCCCTCCTTTTCATCGCAGTTTCTTCTCCTCATGACCTGATGGCCTTTGACAGTTGATTGGTTTATACACACTTTAACTAGCCCTTCTTTTTTGCTGTTTCGGTAGGGATTCCTTGTGGGGCCGCCTTGGGGGCGTGTGAAGCGCGCCCCTCAGGCTCACGGGCACCTGATTTTAGGGGAGAGGACAGGCTGGGCATGTCAGGGAACAAATAAGAGCAGAATATTCCTTTAAAATAAAAAAATTACGAGGACAAGTTGGGTCGCGTACTCAAACCTTTGGCGGGGACACTGAAGTAGGCTTTAATATCATCACTAACCCCCCGCACTACCAACGGCGAACGCGTGTATGTCGGGGGAGTGTGCCCTCACCTCGGGCGAGGTCATTGAGGTACATTTTCTAGTGGTACCATCGACATCAACTAGGAAAAAGGTTAAGGCAGTATGAAAGTGGGAAGATTGTGGAAATAACCTTACTTAAAATTTGCGGACGTAAACCGTTACTCGGATCAGGTAGTAGTACTGACAAAGACAAAGGAAACTGAAATGGCCATTTCTGGCTCATTAGCCGTCGTCAGCCAGTCATACCCAGACCCAGGTGGTGCTCCACCCGAGCCTCGAACTCGCGACGTCTTTGATCAGAATCAAACGCCCTAGCCATTGGGTTACCACGAGCTCGTTGTCTTACCGGTGTAGAACGGGGAATATTGACACGCGTTGATGAATGAGTTAGCCAGTTGGAATTTTCACCCCCACCTCCGCCACCCAAAACTTTAAGTAGTAAACAAACAGTTTCCGTCCAAATTTGGCTTTACGATGCATTTCCAACGCACCAGTCTATGTAACTCTTCGAATAAACAAGTTTCGTTCAGGTAAAAATGATGGCCATTATTGGTTCCAGCCCATGAAAATTACCACACTTTGTTTGCTGTCCACCCCTTAAATTACATCTTTACACCTTGACATTTCTCCACCACTGCCTACTTCTTGATAACTAATTTTTTCTCACCAGTAAACACTGCAAGGGAAGCGAACCATTGTAGTAAATAACACTACCCACAGCTGTTGTGTGACAACCGTGGGCTTTT